CGAGGGCTGTGCTGTGCTGCGCCGTGCTGATGCTGAACTGCGATGTGCCATGCCGCGATTGTGTTTTATAGCGTTGTGGATCGAGTCCCCCTTTGCACCCGAGTCCTGACCGAACTGATCTGGATCTCAAGCTCGAGCTGCCTCAGCACATAGTAGCTGCCCCAGAGCTACTTGACAGGGGAACATGCCAGGAGGACGCACCGCGGAACGTCCCACGGGACGCGCCAGGCGACGTGCCAAGGGACGTGCCACGAAGACACACCGCGGGACGTGCCAATGCCGAGGGGACGCGCTACGGAAAGTGCCAATGGACGTGCCAATGGACGTGCCAGGAGACGCGCCGCGCGACGTGCCAGAGGGACTCACCACAGGACGCGCCACGGAACATGCCAGGTTGCAATGCTGAATGTATCGATCTTGATGTACCGTGCCGAGGCCTGTGCTGTGCTGCGCTGTGCTGAACTGCGATGTGCCATGCCGCGATTGTGCTTTATAGCGTTGTGGATCGAGTCCTCCTTTGCACCCGAGTCCTGACCGAACTGATCTGGATCTTAAGCTCGAGCTGCCTCAGCACATAGTAGCTGCCCCAGAGCTAATGGACAAGGGGACATGCCAGGAGGACGCGCCGCGGAACGTCCCACGGGACGCGCCAGGCGACGTGCCAGGGGACGTGCCACGAAGACGCACCGCGGGACGTGCCGAGGAGACGCGCTACGGAACGTGCCCATGGACGTGCACCGCGCGACGTGCCAGGGGGACTCGCCACGGGACGCTCCGCGGAACGTGCCAGGCAACATGCCAGGCTGCAATGCGCAGTGCCTATGAGGAGAGTCTCTGAGCGCAGTGGGCCGGAGCCCCGACGGTGGTCTACGCGCGGCGCAAGCGGGCGTCGCAGTACGGGGCGCGGTCGCACCAGGCGCTGGTCGTCGTCGTCGTCGTCGTCGTCGTCGTCGTCGTCGTCGTCGTCGTCGTCGTCAACGCCCGGAGGCGCCCGGAGGTCAGAAGGTCAACGAATCGATACCAGATGCAAATGAACTCTCGACGCTCCGTTCCAAGCCCAGGAAGGCCCCTGGAGGCCACTATTAGAAACCCTTCTGAGTGGCCTGGACCACAAAAAAACACGCGGCTGCAGCGCAGGAGCTAAATGTTAGAT